TACCCACCACATGTTGTGTGAAAGCTGAAAAACACACCCCAATTTGGCTCCCAGCTCATCCTCCTGCTTCTTTTTATTAATGCAGCGTCTCCACCCATCCCACTCATCTCCCTTCCCTTCTCTTCATGATTTAGCTGCAGCGCTGGCTTCTGTGTCGTTTAGAACAAACAAAACCTATAGAAGTATGTTTCAAAAGACAGATGTTCTGATAGGGGATGTGAAGCAAATGTTGGATGCTCACTCAGTGCCTTTTAAAGGCTTTAATTTACAGGGAAAATAAAAAGGAGTTGTTCAACATGTAGCAAAGGGAGTCGTCAGCTTTGAAAACTGATAAGAGGAGGGAGATGCCAGACCCGTTTTGAATCTGAACTTAACAACCAGAACCCTTATTTTCCTGCAGCAAAATGATTGCTGCTTCCTTAGAATGATTTAAGAATTCCCTAGAGATGTTTGCCCAGGCTCTAGAATCCCCCCTAACAGGGCTTATCAGAGAAGATTCCAATTTAGAGCAGCAAAAGTTTAGTGTCTGGTATCAGCTCTGGCTTTTTTTTTTTTTTTTTTTTAAAGGAGACATGATGTTTACAGTGTTAACAGTTTCGAAAGGTCTTACATTCCTAGTGAAAAGAGCTATGAAAAGCATTATTCAGGCGAAAATGCATCAATGCATGGATGGGAGTTAAAAAGAGCAAAGTTTGCCGATATGGAGACCAGAGGCAACATGTGCTGACAGGTGCAATTATGGCCAAATAATTGAATCTTTTTTATTTTTTTGGAGACAGAGTCTTGTTATGTCACTCTTGGTAGAGTGCTGTGGCATCACAGCTCACTGCAACCTCGAACTCTTGGGTTTAAGCAATTCTTTTGTCCCCCTCCCCCCAGTAGCTGGGACTATAGGTGCCCGCCACAATGCATGGCTAGAAATAATTTAATCTTTTAAGAGAGATCAGGTGAGGTAAGGTGATAGTTGTAGACTCACACTGAAAACCTGTTCATAATCAACTCAAGATGTCAAGTGTGGATGATTCAACCAGGGTAGGGATCTCAAACCAGTCCACATGCAGGGTGTAGCAGCAGTGGCATTTTCACTTTGTAAACTGGGTTTAATAGCATCATTTCAGCCCAACAGCCCTTACCTGGTCCAGAGGTTGGACAGAGGACGGAGGTTGCAAATGTAGTCTGCATTTTCCCTCAGATTCCTCATAGCCTGGAACCTCTTCCCAGCCCCAAAGAGCGGTGGTCACCTCAGATTCTAAGTCTTCTGGTCTCAGAGAAACTGAAGAAAAATACATAGCATGCCCCCCTGGGCGAAGGGTTCAACTACAAGTTGAACTTTTACCTTGGAAGGGAAGACAGTGTAGCCTAAGCATTTGTCCCCATATCCATCTGACATTAAGACACAAGCAAAAGCAAGCCAGAAACCACTTTCCTGCTCAAAGAAATCAGACAAAAAATGTAAACATTGAAGAGTTAATGAATTGCTTTTATTAGTAACAGTAAAAACCTTCCTTTGCTCTTTGGTTGTAGAGTTTCTAGGCCTGTCAGTTTCCCCTGTCAACATGTGCCTTAGCGGAGAACAGTGGGCTGGGCACAGTGGGGTGTTTATTTCTGGGACTGTTCCCCTGAGGACATAAAAGACCTGGTTCCTGTCTTGGAAGAGAGGTGCTCAGAGCCTGGGCCCCAGGAGAAGTGAGGTTACTGTGCTTACCGCACCCACACTTCGTTTATGAACCTTGAGAATTTTTTCCGGGTCTCTGCGTGGAGATGGAGCTGAGAGAAGGGAAGGCCACAAATTAGTGAAATTTCTCCCCATGCAGAGCAAAGGGTATCCCCAAGTTTCCACTAAAGATTCTGTTAGACGTCTTGCTTCAGGTTTCATTCTTAATGAAACAATGCGATTTACTTTTCTCTATTGTATGATATTTTTCGTACAAATGTCTATTTTTAAAATCCTATTCTATGTGTAGATTACTTTTGTCATTGTGATGCTATTAAAGGTTCTTAAGCTGGAGAGTGAATTACAAGTTTTTGACAATGACACACTAATTTGAAAGTCAGGTGACTGCTCCTTTTCTACTACCGAGAATCGACTCCCTAATGTGTTTGGGTTTCTAGTATTTTCCTTCCTTTTTCCTTTTTTTTTTTTTTTTGAGACAGAGCCTCAAGCTGTCCCCCTGGGTAGAGTGCCGTGGCATCACAGCTCACAGCAACCTCCTCCTTTTTCCTTTTTAACTGCCAGCGTTTCACTTTACCTTCTACCAATAAGCTCTTAGACTCGGTATCTAGGTAGGTAGAAGACTTCCTTCTGCATCAGCTTCTTCAAGCGTTTAGCAAGCTCCAGAGTGAATCCAGCGTGGTCCCAACAGCGTCACACCGCTGTGGCCACAACTGGCCGCAGCTCGGTTTCCTTCCTGCATCCTGAACCGCCTCGCACACGGTGAGCACGGGCGACAAGTGTCATCTCAGTGTCTGCTCACTTTGTTTATTCCTGTCGAGAGTAAATACTCACCATCCTCAGTACTTCCTGGAGTTTGACTCTGTTCTAATGTGGAACGATGGCTACAGTGGGAGTATCTGGATCTTTCCAGGTGGGCCACGTGAGCTCTGTTCTAACTTAGGTGTAAACTACATGATCTTTTGATAAACTGATCACCAGAGTGAGTCAACTCGGCTGCATGCTGTGGACTGGGTGGATGGGCCTGCAGCAAACGTGTGGGGAGCAGTTGGTTACTGTGTACCTTCTGGTCAGCACCTTCCATTATTCTCCAGTATCATGATAACATTTTAGTGAAATTAAACTTAGGTGGCTCAAAATTACATAATCACATTCAGTTTTAGTTTAAGTGCTGGTTGCTTAAAGCCTCCTGGGAGAGAGAGCTTCTAGAATCACCAGCTATGCCAGTGGGTCTCAACTCAGGCTGTGTCTTATAAATACCCAGAGGGCTTAAAAAAAATGCTCAGATTCATCTCAGAGAGCTCGACTGCATTTTTTGTAGGTTGGGCCTAGCCATGCGGGGTGACATTTTAAAAAAGGCTTCTCAAGAGATTTGGAAGGTTGAGAACCACGGAAAGGCAGGAAAAGAGACTTAGGATACACTGAGCACATTTTGACCTGTGCTAACCAACTTGGTTAAATGCCTTTCCTACAGCCTCAGCCAGGCACCCTCTCCCCTCTCCTGTTCACTCAGGGAGCTGAAAGTGGTGAGGAGTCAAATCTTCTCTCCGTTTCTTATATAAAGTGTGATCTGGAGAAGATCTTAAATGTGCTGAATTTTGGTTTCCTTCTTTACTGAATTTGAATAATAAAGCTCCCTTGTAAGGGAAGATCAAATTGCTAATGTGATATGAAAACATTTAGTACAGAACCAAGTATACAGTAGAGCTCAGTATATTCCTTCTTTCCCTCCCTCCTTCCCGACCTCCCTCTCTTCCTTCCTTCTTCTCTTTCTCTTCTATCCTTCTCTTTCTCTCTCTCTCTCTTTTTCTTTTTACAAATTCTGTTTTTGTGCAAAAAAGGAAGCTACTATGGATTTGGAATTTCCTCAGTGTTCTGTCCCACATTCTCACTTGGCCGCCCTTTCAACCTGTTATGTCTGTGAAGTGGCCGGCCAAGGATGGGATGTGGTTTGAGTTGTGAGAACAAGTGTTTTGATTGAGTGATATCATCCGTTATGTGGGCACTGACCTTGAGCTCTTGACCATCATTTATCTCCTTCAACCATACGACCATCTAACTTACTTTGTACTTGCAATAGTGGTCGCAGCACCTGGCATTTAGATTTCAGCACCTGTTTGAAGTGAGGAACTTCAGAGGAGTGTAGGTGAAATCAAAAGACATCTTCAAATTACTACCTGGCTAATTAGCTTTTTCTTATTTTCTAAGAAAATAAGATGTTGGTGTATCTCAGTCCATTCCCAGACAGTCGCGGGGAATCCGTTCCATTACGGCTGGTGTCATGGAGCAGTTCATCCCCAGTGACTCAGGAAGGTGTCTGTGTTGCGTCGTTGTGACACATACCTGTCTTTTGCTCACTTATTTGGCTCCAAATGAAATCTCAAGCCAATGAGAACGGTCCCAAGTTTCTGTTATTACCTAGTTCAGGGTAACCAAAGCAGACAACTGGGAGATTATGCCCATGTGCTGTCTCAAGGGAGTTGCTTGTGTTAGAGCAGATAAAGTGTCTATGGGAAAAGCCACATTGATAAAGGCAACATGATACTCTGTTGTTTTTCACTGTCTGGCAAAGTGCAACAGGGCTGAAGAGCAACTTAAGCATTAAGAGCAAGAGTTTAAACATCCTGACAAACTGGATTCTAATTTTGGCTTCATCACTATCTATAGCAGCAGTTCTCAACCTGTGAGTCATGACCCACAAGAACTGTATTAAAGGGTTGTGGCATTAGGAAGGTTGAGAACCACTGATCTATAGTCAGAATCAGCAACCTTTTTCTGTAAAAGGCCAGCTAGTAATTATTTTAGGCTCTGCAGTCATAACTCAGTCATAACTACTCAACTCTGCAGTTATAGTCAAAAGTGTCCACAGACAGTACATAAAGGAATAGACATGGCTGTGTAAATAAAACTTTATTTACAAAAACAGACAGAGGGCCAGATTTGGACCATTGCTAGAATTTTCTGACCTCTGATCTGCAAGTTCTTGCAATGATAAGTTACTCTAATTTTTTAAGATTGTTAAAAGAATTAAAAGACATAATGTATGTAATAAAACACATACTGCATCCTTGGCATAGAGTAAGCTCTTCAGAATAATAGTGCTATTATTTTATTAAAACATTGTGTATCATGTAATGTAAGATGCTACTGGTTATAAGATATATCTGGATTTCAGACATGTTAGAGTATGATTAAATGTCTTAGAATTGATAAAACATGGTAACTAATTATAGTAACATGGTTACATTTAGGATTTTAAGTTTTGTTCTGCAATGGTAGTTTAAAGCTTCTTGAATAACATGCCTCTGTGATTTTTCTGTTTTGTCAGAGACACGTGCCATGAACTCTTGGGACATGTGCCGCTGCTTGCAGATCCCAAGTTTGCTCAATTTTCACAAGAAATAGGTCTGGCATCCCTGGGAGCATCGGATGAAGACGTTCAGAAACTAGCCACAGTGAGTTCTTTGCAACTTAAAAAGCGTTCTATTCGTGTCCATTTGTAAGGTAAGAAGCTTCAGAATTACTTGCTGTGAATTATAGGTAAGTGTTCTGGACAGAGCGTGGTGATTTTTACCCTTTTTCATGCTATGTTCTTTTGAAGCACAGTGAGTTCTTGGCTTCTTGACCACCGAGATATTTGTGTTTTATCCTTTTGTAAAGGTGTCAGCTGGATATAAAGGGCTAGATAGTAAATACATTAGGTTTGTGGGTCATAAGGTCTCTGTCACAATTACTCAGCTTAGCCCCATGGCTCAAAACCAGCCTTCTGAGCATGGCTATGTTCCAATAAAACTGTATTTATAGAAACTGGTGGTGGCCCAGATGTGTGTAGTAGTTTGCTGACTCCCCTAGACATATCACTACTAGTCTTTACATTTATGTTAAAGTGGGGCTTGCATCTGGGATTAGCTCTTTCATTCGTCTACATGGTCATGGTCAGATATAATTTGGCTCAGCAATAAGAAACTCATGCTCGACAATTATTCTAAGTGCAACTTCCCCTCACCCTGTCCCAAACTTAATAGAAGCTGTTTTCTTCTTCTCAAAACTCTGGTTCTTCTGAAAACAAGCAGTGTGAGAGGGAAGGTGTAATTGTGGCTGCCACTGCAATTAAGAGGCTGCAGGGCCTGATCCGGTGTGCCTTACTGTGCCCCGTCTCAAAGAGTGCAGGAAAAGAAAGAGTGAGTTTGGCAAGCTCACCTACCGAGACAAGTCAGTCAGCATAATGAGCAAAACCCCCAGGAAAAGAACAAAAGTGGGATCTTAAGTTGTGTGCGTTTGCCACAAATCCACATCGATGGTTTGTTGGATGTGCAGGAATACTCTTCACTCCCCCTGAGAAATAAGTGTTCTCTTCGATTTCTTAGAACACACAGCTCTTTCAGTGTTATCTTTTGTTTCCTCCTTGTTTTTGGTGGAGATATGGGAACTGAGAAGTGCTTCTCTACTGACAGACACACAGCAAGCGGCCTGAGTGACAGTGACCAGTGCGAGTGTGGGGACAGGTGCGAGTGGCCAGATGCCGTCCCGGCTCCGCTGAGCTTTGCTGGATGGGACGCAGGGCTTTGTTTTGCCAGATCTCCCCAATTTTTGAGAAAGTCTGGCTAGCTACGTGGTATATTTCTAAATTAATTTATTTCTTTTTCTTTTTTTTGTTTCAAAATATTAGGGTGTATACACGTTTTGTTTGTGTACTTTGCTTTGTACAGATTGGATCACTACATGAAATAGAATGAATTTAAAGTTTCGGCTCATTGAAGAAGAATCCCCAGTTATGAGCTGAGGAAAATGTATTTGTAGACTGAATCTGGATCTGCTAGTTTGTAACCTGTTATAGGGATCGTATCTCACGCGCCTGGCGATGTATCAGTATCTAAGGAATTACCTCAAAGCTTAGCAGCTTAAACAACAAATATTTCTTTTTTCTTTTTTTTTTTTTTGGTTTAATCAATAATGTTTATTTATTTATTTATTTTTTTATTGAATGGTAACTGTGTACATTGATGCACTTTGGGGGTACAGTGTGGTGTTTTCACACACAATCCATGACATTTCCATCAAACTGGTTAACATAGCCTTCATGTAACTTTCTTAGTCATTATGTCAAAACATTCATATTCTACTCATAGAAAGATTCACTTGTACCCTTG